ATCTAAATATAAGCTCAAGATCAAATTTATTCATCTTCTTTTTATAGTATTAACTGGCTCGTTAAAGGCGTCCTACAACTTAATCCCAAACTCCAAGGACACCCGATGGTTAATGAAGTGGCGCTGACAGCCATAACGCGCATTGATTTGTCGCATAACAACCTGAGTGTCCTCCCTAAAGAAATTTTTAAGTTGGTTAGTTTAAAGTAGGTATTTGCATTTTCATATAAATACTAAATACTTATTCAGTAATATTTTAAATGATTTGTAGATATCTAAACATTGCTCAGAATAAAATCGCCAGCCTCCCTTTTCCTGCGCAATCACCGAATAGTGCAAAATATGAGTACAATTGTCCGGTGCTTGAGGAACTTTTCATGCAGGATAATCGCCTAGTAATGATACCTGCCGACATTTTTTACTTGCCTTCGCTTACCATTTTAGATATCTCAAACAACAAACTGCAAGAACTGCCGTTTGACATGTGGAAAGCACCAAAATTGCGAGAACTAAATATAGCATTTAATTTGCTGAAGGACTTACCAGTGCTACCGATGCAGGTGAGTTGTTTAATATCGCGCGTGCATTTTAAGTACATATATATGCACATACAGTGACTCAAACAAGTGTTCACCATATAAATGAAAAGTTTTCACCAAAATTTCAAACATTTAAGAGCCATACAATTTTAGTCTAATGAGGTACAGGTTGAGTAAAAAAAATGCTTTGGTGACGACTTTGGCGATTTTTTTTTATATGACCAGGAAAATTTATAAAAATAGGTATTCATTTTTAAAAATTTTGTTTTTTTGAATAAAAAATAGAATTTTATCGGTTCTTTTCGAGATTTTCTCGGGATTTAAGGTTCCAAAATTTATTCGAAACCGTTCGGGATTTGCCCGATATTTTCTTTACTTAACGAAATTTTTTCGGTATATTTAGCTATATTTCGAATCTTTTCTGTATTCTCTCTGTGCACTTCAATTGTATGAATTTAATACTGCTATAAGTCCACTTGGATTAGCTCTTTAGTATCTACCCGTATATTATGCATTTCAGTTTGACAAGTATTTTTTTCTTAACAGTCCTCAACAGCACACATCAGTTTAGAGAAGTTGGAATTGGAGCCGTTTTCTAATATCGAATCCTCAGAAGCGTGCAATTCCAAGCCACGCAATTTAAATTTCCATCAGTTGATACATCGAAATGTTTGGGCTAATTCGTTAGATATAACCGATAATGACATGAAGTGGAATAAACCGAAGAAAGAAGAGGGAGTCTCAAAGTTAAATAGCCTAAATATCGCTAATAATCTTTTTACCAGCATACCTGTGGTGCTACCTTGTTTGGCGGTTAATTTGACACGTCTTAACATGTCGTATAATAGTTTAAGGTGTGTAAAAATATATGCACATAAGAAGAAATACGGACTGTTATGAATAATATGTATTATTATAGATCTATGGGACATGTGACGGGCTACCCTTCAGCTCTGAAGCAACTTGATCTAAGTCATAATGAAATTTCTTGTTGGCCAAGTTTGCCGCGTATCAGCGGTGATCTCGACCCACATTTGCTTTGCTACGGTTTGGATCGTTCCACCAATACGACGGATGACACATCCACGTATTCTAAGCCGGTGGGCAGTGGCAAAACAATCTCATTCCGCAGCACAGTACTTAAAAGCGTCTGTCGCCATCGACGTCATTTAAGACTTGAATCGTTACGCACTCTTATACTAGCCGATAATCTCTTGACTCGCATACAGTTATCCACTGATGATGCAACGACACTTTTTAACGAGTCCGAAGATGCAGACTGGAGTGTTGTGGGTGTGACAAAGTCCAAGATAATATTTCCGAACTTATCCATGTTGGATATTAGCAACAATTGTTTGAAGGTAAGTGAGAACATGACAAAGTTTAAAACGTGAACTCATTTTATTATAGTTTTTATTTAACAGGAAATTCCCACTTCATTACATGAATTAAGTGGTCTCAGTGTATTAAATATAAGTGGTAATGTGAATATCACCGATCTCCCACCGCATCTTGGTCTTCTCTCACGCCTATGGAACTTAAACACGCGCGGCTGTATGCTTCAGGAGCCACTTAAATCGATGATCGAAAGTAAGAAGTACAAGACAATGGATATAATTGGATATTTGAAGTCAATTTATGAGAATTCCGTGATATACGCGCGCATGAAGTTGATGGTGGTAGGCGTACAAGGCATAGGCAAAACGACTCTGTTAGATTTGCTGCGCCAAGGTGGTGGATCTCAGAAATCACGTGCCTCAGAAAACCATTGGGCCAGACGCATGGGGCATGCGCGTAATACGCCAAAGTCGAACTGTGCCGGAAACATTTCGACGGTTGGTGTTGATATTGGGACCTGGATATGTGAAAAGCGAAAGAAATCGCCCGGCTCACATGGACCTGTAATATTTCGAACTTGGGATTTTGGTGGCCAAAAAGAGTGCGTTGAAACATTGCTGGTTTCGGCTTCACTTGTGTGGTTTAAAAATAATCGCTTCTTTACAGATACTATGCAACACATCAGTATTTTTTATCGAAACGTAGTTTATATTTGGTACTTTGGAAAATAACGGATGGGCATAAAGGACTTACTGAAATACTCCAATGGCTCGGTAACATACAGGTATTAGTTAATTTTGCTGAAATATGTTGTTGTTGTAGCAGCATACAAGCTCCCCAAAGAGTGTCTGGGTCGTTCCCGTTACGTAGACCCGACTGTCGTGGGAGCGTGTATACAGGTTTTAGTTAATTTTGCTGAAATATCGACGAAGACTGTGTAAATCTGCTTATGAGCAGTTTGTAGCTACCGTAAAACTAAAGAGGGAAAAATATATTACATAGTTTAGCTAACTTTATGAATTTGAGGGTTAAATTAATTTGTAGTCACGTCGTGGCATCGTAGCAGGAGAGAAAACATATTTTATTCAGTCATTTGGAGTCTTATGAAGGTTCAACAATAGCGTAGGCCGAAAATGCGCATTTTTTAAATTTTGATTGGTAATAGCAAAAATATGGTTCATTACGCTTTCAAAAAAATCTGTGTGAAATTTAATAAATATCCTAGGCTCGCCCACATCGATCAAAGTTCAATATGCTCAAAAAATAAAAGTTAATAAATAAATTAGTTTATAAATTTTTTTAATAAAATTGCAATAATCTTCGATAGTATTAGTCCTCCATAATTTGGTTATTAGGAGGGTTGCCACCTGAAATGGTAATTCCCATGAACAGAAGTGTTATAATAGGTTTATAGATAATTGCATGATCTATACTCCAATAAATAGGGTTCAAAAATTAGAAAGAAATTATGAAAATTGCAGATAGAGGGTATTGAACATAACCTGTGGATATCTGAAAGAGCCTTTGATAATTTTTTTTTTTATTAAAAATTTTAACGATTTGCCATAAATATATAATTAAAATTAGAAAGTTGTTCTACCAAATTTGGAAGAATTTCACCAAAATAGTAATTTATCATCTCCAAATTTTAGGCTCGCGCACCCAATTCTGCTGTCATAATTGTTGGAACGCACTACGATGCAGTTGGAGACACGATCACCGCCCAACAGGCAGAAGAACTGCAACAAATCATACGCGAAAAATTTATCGCTATACCAGATGCAGAAAAAGTTGGATTACCGCGAGTGATCGATTCAATAGAGATAAGCTGCCGGTAAGTTAATACTGTTAGCGCCCTGAAATGTCTTTTTTAGGGTGTTGTCCCTAACGCTCGGAGTGTACTATACAATACATGCCTATATTTTCATAAACATTTTTGAATGTATGCCAATAGATTATGTACGAAAATTTGTTTAGATATGTACATATCGTCGTTTAAAGTACAAAACCGCGAATCTCGGAAACGCATAACCTCGTATGTGAGGCTGCCAAGATTTTGCAGGAGAGAGTACAGCTAGTCCTATTTCAAAACGGTCCTCTCTTTTATACCTAATTATCTCCTCTTCTTATATCTAAGTACCGATATTTAAGTATAAATGGATATGGGCTTGGTGTCAAGGGGTTCCGGTGTGCAAATATCTTTTTTGGAACAAATGTCAGTTACGAGGTTTTGCAGAACGGCGATACGCGGTTTTGTGCTTTAAACGACGGTATGTATGTACATATGTACATATATGGCAAAATCTTTTCCTTTTTGGTATAATATGTATCTATTTATTGAATCTTTCTTTCGAAACTAACAATAAGTTTTCAAATTTTACAAACTTCTATTAAATCTAAAATTTCTGCGGCAAAGCTTAGCTTCTCTATATTTAAATAATAACAATACAGTAGGCTGTGTTCGGTCGGAACGGACGAGTTTCCGAGCCGCACTGACACTGATGTTGGGTAGTCGATCTGAAATGACGAGTTCCAGAGCCGACATTGATATATCGTGGATATCCATATATATTATATTGCTCATCATTTGATAATATCGGAAAGTTCCCTTCTTTTTAGTCTTTTTGCGTATCTCGGGCTAAGAAGATCTCTCGCTAGTCGATTTGGATGGTTAATTAACCGTGCTGAATAACTGGTGCTTAGCGCTCTTGTGTTTAGCCCTTTATGTTTACATTAAGATCTTTGTGGATATTCGTATTTTTTATGTACCATGGTACTGCGCATATGGCGCGTAAAATTTTCGACTGCAGTCTTAGAAGTCTGTTCAAAATGGAATTGCACGCTGTGCCCCAAAGCCCGATTCCATATGCCCAAAATGGTCTAATCATCATATTAAAAATCAGCATCTTGTTTTCCAGGCTTAATTTAGATTTGTGTCCTATAACCCATTCAAGGTTTGCTTGCTTTAGTTTCGCTTGAGAAATTTTGTTTTCTATATGCTTTTTCCAGGTAAGTTTTCTATCGTATCTATCGTAGGTTTTATAACCCTCACTAAGTAGTAGTTTTTTCTTATCAGCGGTCGTCCCTCGGCAGGCAATGGCAAACCTCCGAGTATATTTCTGCCACGAAAAACAGCTTCTCATAAAAATACAACCGCCGTTCGGAGTCGGCGTAAAACTGTAGGCCCCTCCGCTTTGTGTGACAACGTCAAGGCGCACGCCACAAATCGGAGGAGAAGCTCGGCCAAACACTAACATATGTGTATGCGCCAATCTATTATTATTATTATTAAGGTGGTACCTTAAGAGTGGTCCCATACTAATTTTGTTTAGATCCGATAATTGGATCATGAAGGAATTAACGATAGTCTTAAATTTTTATATGAGAATTGAAACTTTTTCTTAAAGGATTTTTTCTTATTTCCTGGCAAAGTATGTAAATTAAAGAAAACTAAATGTAAATGAATATTATTTTTATTATTGTTTGTGTCCTTTTAGCGTTCTTGCAGTGTTATCATCGAAATTTAATGGCGACCATAGGATTGCAATTGGTTTATAAAACTCATAGGACGTAGGATATTCAGTCCGATAGGGCTCGGAATTCAAGCATACGGCATTCACATTTGTAACGCAGGATACCAGTAAGGGTACTCTAAAGGCCTCAGTAGGGACGCCATTTGGTGTACCATTAAGGGTACCATATACACAATTAATACACAATTAAGTCAGTGCATATTTCTGGATATGCAGGGTTTAGTCCAAGAGAACGCAGCAACAGTCCGGACTGATATGTATCTAGGTCGTTCCGGTTACGTAGATCCTGTCGTGGGAACTTTGAAAAAGTAATTAGTTCCTTGCTGTGGACTAAAGGAATTGATTACTAATTAAGTAATTAAGAGTAATTGTAGAATCAGCCTATTGTTTTAACCCTAGACGTGCTTTGTTAGTCGATTTGACTAACAGCAATCGTGTTTCGCTTCGTACTTCTCTCTGAAGTCATCTACCTTTTTGTTTATTATATGTAGCAGAGAAAAAGTATGTTTTAAATGTTTAATTATTGTGTTTTAAGAAATATAAAGAACTAAAAATCATCTATATATACTAAAGCACTGCAAATATACCTACCGAAATACTCTTCACAAGTGTACATGAGTAAATGGAACATAAATTTTAGTGTCCTTAAAAAGATAGAAACAAAAAAAGAGAACATCATAATTTTGAGGTACTGAGCAATGTTACTCAACAGTGCTCTGCTACATAAAACACCTTTCCACTTTTCCAGAGTACTTGAGTATGTTGCAGGGATTGGCATTGGTTGATCGTCAACTGTTTCATACTCAATCAATACCGCTGCTTTATATGACTGAGCAGCGGCGTTGGCTTAGTAGTATCGATACCTAAACGAAATTAGAGGATAACTGAACACCAGCGCATAGCGTGCTGTCTTGCAAATACAGCCACCACAAGTGAACGATGCTTATAACCAGTGTTGCCAACTTTTGATTTTCAGAAAGCACCAAAAACTTGGAAAAAAGCGTTCTACCAAACTAGATGTACCAAATTTTTTTTAATCAAAAGCAAAAAGTTAACAATATTTACAAGAATACATACATAAATCAATACACAAAACGTTTTCGATCATAACGATTGAATAGCCTCTACACATGCTATGATGACTCATGCTTACGACGAAATACCGAAGTACTATTAAAACTAGTATATCTCGAGAAAGAAAAATCGAATCGCAACGAACGAAAACAATGCCCTAAGTAGAAATGAGTAAAAAATTTGATGTTTTCATTATATAACCTCAAATATCGCAAAAAACCGTGTTTTTGGCAATCAGGGGGTAGGATATCTAAAAATTCTAGTACTAGAGCAATTGTACGGCCAGATTTGGATTCAGTACCAAGAAATTATGTGTTTTACTCAGGTGTTAAAAAATCAATATTTGTACAAACAATTAGAAAGGAAAAAAAAGAAATACCTAACTTACCTGCGTACTACCATTTCAACGCGAATAGAATTCAACAAAGTGAGTTTGCAACTTCAGCTTTTTATCAATCATGGTTGTATTTTAGTGCATTTAAATTTGTACATTCTTGCAAATTCCGCATCTTCAGCTTATAATATTTTAAATTATTTCAGGCTTTAACTATCTCGGAGTAATATTAGTTCAAAAAAAGCACTAAAAAAGGCACTAGGCACTAAGTAAGTTTTTTTGGCGCTTTAATTTTCAAAAAGCACTCAATCTAAAGCACCAAGTTGGCAACTATGATTGCACTGTACACATTGAATTTTAGCTTGTTGGGCTCTTTCCACTCACAGTAATCATAATTGGAAGTACGGGAATACTTATGAAGTTGTTTTCTTTTCAAATGTTAGCAATTCACATAATGTTATGAAAAAACATAAAGTTTCTTTTTATTCAAAATTTGTACTATATACTTAAAATATTGTTTTATATTAAAAAAAAGCGCCGACATTTCTCGCCGGAACATATTTTCTTTGAGTACTTGCTTTGTGTACACAGCGCTCAACATCTTCACTTCTCTTCCTTCCATGCCCTCTTTGCTAGAGTATGAGTAATTTACATATTTGGAAAAAACTTCACAGTGAAGCAAAGTAAATTCCGATGCAGACCTTTAACATATGCATATAAAACGCGAAGAGATTTTTTGTCCAGGACAAAAGATTTTTACCGTTCGCCCGATTTTCAAAATTGAGGTGTCAAATTAATAATAATTTTTTTTTCGAAAAGAGTTGTCTCCTGTTGAACAATTAAACCCAAATTATTTAGTAATCAATGCCATCATATCTGCACCGTTCGCGATTTTCTCAAGTGAGGTGTCATATTAAAAAGCTTGGAAAGGGGGTTTTGAGAAATCATTTTTGAACTTTATTTAGCGCGCTTGCCACATGTTTAAAAAAATCAAATTCAACTTAATTCATCAGTTAATTAAAATATGTATCGCAATGTCAGACGAATAAAGTTTTAACTTGAAAATACTGCCACCTGAACTTAGTTAACTATTACACAGGTTATATGAAATATGGGTGTCAAACGAATGAGTGTTAAGAAATATTTATTTTAAGAGGGTTGTCCTTTTATTTATGAGCTGATTTCTTTGGGCCTTACTAAGTCAGACAAAGTTACAGCATTATTCTGTATCACGAACGATAGGCAACACGAACGATTCGTCTGTGGTGGTGCCACAGCTTTCTTCCCATCGCCGCTGTCTTAATTCGCAACTAGGTGGTTTAAAACACCGCGCTATTTTCGTGTCCTGACTTTTATTGCATACAGAGCACCGTTCAAACGTTTTGCTCCGTTTCATCTTGGTTTCATTACATTAAATATTTAAACAAAGTCGAACGTATTTACTTATTACCAAACTTAAATGTACTTTCTTGCTCTTCTCGGCGGTTTATCTATTAACAATTTCACGTTTATTATGAAAATTTGTTGCTTGAAAAAGTCGTGTGTATTTTCATATTTTTTTTTTGTAAATTCAAATTTGAAAAAAAAACATATTTTCAAATTCATTTCAATTTGACATTATAGCCTGCTTCTTATGAGACCAAATGTCAAAATCAATCACAGTTTTTT